TCAGCAGGACCCATCTGACACCCTGTCTGTGTGAGAGCACTGGCCAGATCCGCTCCGAGAACTCCCATATGACAAAAGGGAGGGGTGGCATTTGGTACATGCACGCTGATGAAAAAGTGCCACATTTTCAGGAACACGTGGCAATAAAAGACCAAGAAGAACAGATAAACTGAGACGAGGTGGCTAAAGCAGTCCTCAAAACCTCCACCTCCCCCACAAAGGGTAAAATGAAAGCTCAGAGGCAGTTCTCAAAAAGTATATTGAAGTGAGAGTGTGAGAAAACATGACAAATTAATAGAAAATTACTCTCCTGTTCCATCATTTATTTTGGCACCATAATATTGGTTCTCAGTTTAACAGCAAACTCCCAGCCAGCACCTGCAGACGCTACTCTCAGAGGCTGTCCACGCTGCCTCTTAAATCCACTGCAGTCTGTCAAGGCTACGACAATTCAACTCTTTTTAAAACGATCGTATTTACAACCTAATAGACTAAAAATCTAGGCAGACTCTGGCTAGGAGCAGAGGTTATAATGCTCTGTCCGTGAGCTGCCTCAATGCAGTTTCAAAGCTCAGCAGTTAAAAATCAGGCTTTTTAAACTATCGGAGCCATTTGCCACGGATGCAAACCCAAGGCTTAGGAAAGGACTCAGAAGAGATCCCGTGTGGTTTGTACATCCTGTGACAGTGATTTCACAGTTGCCTTCATGTTTTATGCTACAAGTGCATAACTGGGAGCCTGCAGGCTGTGAGGTAACAGTACCCAGATCCCAACCTAGACCCTCAGCACTAAATGTCTTAAGGCACTTTGGTTGCTGCCAAATGTGCTGTTACTATCATCTGGTCGTGACCTGACCGTGATGTCTGATGCTTTTAAATAAAAGATTTCTGCCACGAACAGTGCTCTTACCACTTCCTGCTTGCTTTTTGGCTTGAGGTTTTGATGGGCTGTTAACCACACTTTTTAGTATCTTAAAATTCAGTGGCTTCGTGATGGTCTCAGCAACAGGAACTTCTTTCTTGTCTGGGTTCTTCAGCGTCTTTGGTCTCTTTGTTTCCAAGCCAGGATCGTCGGGAGCTGAGGTTTCCTTCTGAACAGGTTCAGACTGTGTTTTGTGCACAAATTCTGCAGACAGGACCTCTGCACCTGTGACAGGGAAAAGAGAGCGCATTTCTTTTGGTTTGAGATATATTCAGATTAAAAAGGAGTACTTGTAAACTATCCAGTTAAGGAATGTGGAATGACTGCTTTAGAAGTGATTGGCAGCAGCAGAGTAGTCTTCAACAACTTGATTTATGCATCTGATCTTGCGAATGGGTTTGTTACTGATGCCAGCGATCAGTAAGCAGTTATTAAAAATTAAGCACCACTTCTTAAGCTCATTAAAAGCCTGCTTTTCTGACCTAGAATACGTGTTCTCTGCGATAAGTCACTCTAATTCCTGCCTGGCACACTTGCACCCTGAAGGTACTTATTTACTCTCCAAGAAGCACACAAGAACCTCTCCCAGATCCATCAGCAAAGCCACCCAGGCCCGAGGCAATGTGCCCCAGGACAGAGCTTGACGGACTGTGAGTAAGAGCTGACTTCAGCCCACAGTGGGCAGAAGCCGTGCCAACCCTGTGCTGCACAACAGCCCATTCCCACAGTAGCTGCCGCTACCTGTGATGCATGTAAATGCCAGGGGAGGTCACCAAATATGACCCTGCCTTTGCAGGAAGGTGGATGTTTTCAGCCACGTTTCGTCACCAAGGTTGGGATTCATCTCAACCCACTTTGAGAGTCTCTACAAATCAGGTGGAGGCTCAGGCTGGTTCAAAAGGACAGGCTTAGTCTATCCTCCGCAGTAGACAGGAGCCTTCAGAGGACAATTTATGCCACTGAGACACCTCGCATGAGCAGCTCAGGCCAGATAACAGCTTTCAGCAAAGTTGGGTGCAATCAGTCTCAATGCTTCTCGTTTCCTCAAGGCTACGACAAGAAAGCTGACTCTCAGGGAGTCACAACGCAACCATGTAGTGTGGTTATCTGGTTATCTAGGCAGCCTGTAATGACCAACTTGCCTGAGCCATCAACAGCCTGTGAACAAGTGATGCAATAACCATGACCAGGCTGATGTCACCTGTAAGCAAAGGAAGGCAACAGCATAGGCCACTGCACCGGGTTTCAGGCACCTTCACTGAAATCCCGTATCATAGCCCTGGGCTCCTTCCCAGGTTGAACAAGAGACTGTGGAGGCATCACCACAGACCTATTTGGATGCTCTCAGGAGGTACCTGTTTCCTCTGGGAGAGGGACATGGCTCCTAGTGAACCCTGAGTATCCCAGCTGCATACCCCAGAGAAGCAGGAGAAAGTCAGTCCCATTTATATAGCACTTACCTCTTTTCCTTCTGTGCGGAAACTGCAAATTGGCTAATTTAAGCATGGGCTCATTAGAATTGGCTGTGAGCCCTGGCTTTTTAGGAAAGGAGAAAGCAATGTTGATTTTCTTCTTCCTGGTCGCTTTCCTGTTCCTGCCACTGTCCCCCATAGGATGTGCTTGCATCTTGAGGGGTGACCATTTCTTCCTGGTGCTGGTCACAACGGTTCGGCTGGATTTCCTCCTGCTCTGCTGCACCCATAGCTTGCTGGCCGAGCTGACACCTTTTGTGGGCCCTTCGCCACTCTGGTCAAGCCCCGCAGTGGGCTTTGTGTTTTCACTTTTGACTTTTGAATCTGCTGCTGTGTTGGGAGGAATAGGGTCCAGTGGCACAGCTGAAGGGACGTCCACTTTACAATCAGCCTCTGAATTGCAGCAAAGAGACTGAACAGCACCAGTCAAACATCCTAAGGCAGCCGACATTTCCAGAGTATAGCTGCTGGGATTGGAGAGATAATGCTGCAGCTGGGAGAAAGACCGCTCCGAGTGCATTTTGAAAGGATTAGTACATTCATTTTCAGTTGGTGAGAGGAGAGAAGAAAGGGAAACTTCACTGGTTTGGCCAGAGGTGGGCTGTGGGTTTTGGTCAAGCTTTGTGTATTCCTGGAGGTGCTGTTTGATACAGACGCTGCTACTGACTGTGTCCCCCCATGAAGAATTGGTGGCTTCCTGTAAGGCATAGCGAAGTCCAGGCAAAACTGCGGCTATTTTTAATGACATGTCACTATCGTCACTATCTTCCCTTTCATCTTTTGGATCGTGCTTTTCAACTGCAAAAGGAAAAGAATAGAATTTTACTCATATTAAAAAAAGACTAAATTCCCCAAATCACCTCACTGTTAAATGCTAAGAGAACATGAAAGCTACGAAAAAGTCCCAGGAGCCAACCTACAAAAAGCTAGCCCGAGGGGCAATGTCCCGGTTTGATGGATGCTTGTAACTGCTGAAGGTAAAAATGAATTGCATGTGGGAGTCAAAAGTGGATTAAACTAAGATGAAAGACTGCTGTCGTATCAGTTAGTCCCATTCTGCAGGAAATTGCAGGGTGAGAATGCACATATAGTAGTCTAAGTCCCTTCCCTCCAGCAATTCTTGCTAAATCCAACATTTAGGACAGTCAGAGCCCTCAAAATGCATGGGGGTTGTAGTTTTTTTTTTTAAACCTGTTTCAATTCAGGGTTGTCCATGCAGGGTGTTTGGACTAGCACCATAAACAACATTGTTTACGTCCCTGTTCAGACGCAACTTCCAGCAGCTCTACCTCTACCTGCTGTCAGTGTGGGTGGACACACTTCACATCAAGACACCACCTTAGTGCTCTGGAGTGGGATGGGGAACAGAGGCTTCCCCAAGTAGAGCTGGGGACCATATAAATAACTAACATGAACCCCTGGGTGATTTTGTAAAGCTGGAGGACTGATCCTACTGAAAACAGTTGACGTTTCTCATTTCAGTAGGACTAACGCCCTACCACGTACAGTGCACAGTGTCAAAGAAGTTTAGCTCCCAGTAGGGATCAACATGAACAAGTCCTAAGGCTCAAGGGTGCCTGTCCTCGCAGATGTCAGCGTGGAAGTAGGTTCTGCTTGGCACAGCAGTGTCCCCTCGGTGTCCAGAAATGCCTGGAGAGCCGGTGTGATACGCAGAGCCTGTTGGTGGAGCTCCCTTTCTGCACAAGCCAGACTTATCTGGCTCCATCCACTGCAACCCAGTGGTCTGATGTTGGCACTCTGCACCTTCAGGCTTGGCCCATCTGCGTGTTATGATCCAACTCGGAGGTTTCTTTTGGCTGCAGGGCCAGACTGACAACCCCAGTGCCCTTCCCCGTCACATCTCTTCCCAGCAAGGCAAAG